GGGGTCTCTTCCCCACCACAGGGCTGAGGCTGGGAAGAAGGGGGGGGGTCTCTTCCCCACCACAGGGCTGAGGCTGGGAAGAAGGTGGGGGTCTCTTCCCCACCACAGGGCTGAGGCTGGGAAGAAGGGGGGGGTCTCTTCCCCACCACAGGGCTGAGGCTGGGAAGGAGGGCTGTCTCTTCCCGGCAGCCGCAGCCCTGGAGCTGGGGAAAGTCACCTCTTTCTCTGGCCGCCGCAGCCCTGCACATCCCAAATTCCTTCCACCCCCTCTTCTCACCTTACTGCCCCCTCCCACCTACCTCCTATTCCCTCCAAGGCCACCACCTCACCTCACATGTGCGTCTTCTCCAGGGTCCAGGCACCTAATTCGTGGAGCCATGTCTGTGCAGCTCCACTAATTAGGTGGGTGGCCCTTTGTTCTCTTGTGTGCGGCCGCCCATGCGCGCACCTTAGAGGGAACTATCCACTGACCACCTGAATGGAGCTCGCGGAGCACAATTTGAGAACCTCTGCACTCGGGTATAAACACCAGGAGGGTGAAGAGCTATTTAAGCTAAAGGACAATGCTGCACAAGAACAAATGGTATAAACTGGCCATGAGCAAATTCAGGCTGGAAATTAAAAGGAAATTTCTAAGAGGGGTGAGGTTCTGGAACAGACAACTTAATGAATTTTGAGAGTGCAAATGTATGAGTGTAATCGTATGACGGGGTTGCTTGTGACAGTAAAGGGCAACCCTGGGGCTCAGTTACGGTTTGTCTCATGTTCCTTGAAGCTCATGCCTCAGGGCTTCAGCTGGTCACCTGCAGGGGTCAGGAAGGGATTTTTGTCCCCCAGTGTATTCTGGGAGATATTTTTGGTCTCCTTCCTCTGAAGCATCAGAGATGGCCACAGTTGGAGATGGGACATGGGACGGGTGGGCCAAGGCTCTGAGGTAACACCATGCATTCTCTCTCAGGCGCTTGGCTGGTTCTTTCACGTATATTCAGGGTTGAACTGATCGCCATGTGTGGGGTCGGGGAAGGAATTTTCCCCCGGGTCAGACTGGCAGCGACTTTGGGGGTTTTCATCTTCCTCTGCAGCATGTGGATGCGGGTCACTTATCAGGGTATATATCACTTGATCACTTGATCATTTTCCTGCATTTGTGGGATCCTCAAGAACTGGTGAGCCTCAGACACTCCCATTCTCTGTCTGCGGCACATCATAGTCAAGTCTCCTGTGAGCTGTTATGCTTTGGTCTCATTCTGGTTATTGGGTTTAGTGTGCGGGTGCTGGGTGTGAGACACGGGAAGTCAGACTAGATGATCTGGCGGTGCCTTCTGGCCTTAAACGCTGACTCTAAATAAGCCCGTGGCTCGTTGTGCTAGCTAGTTGTGCGCTCTTGAATCCCGGTCCCTTGTGCTGCCCGTGTTGCGGCACTGAGGGGATGCAGTTACTGGTTTGTCCCTCATAGAAGAGAAAAGCCAGGGTTCCCCTGTGATGAATCTAAAGCAGGGTTCTCTGCTGGGGCGGCCGGATGCAGACGGGACCCTGCAGTTCTCCCTAGTGACTCGGCTGCCCTTTGTTCCAGACCTGTTATTGGCAGGAGCTGGCCTGGATTCCGAGCTGTTCTGGAACTGACAGCTGGCTATCCTGCGCTAACGGGTGAAACGGAAGGGCCTCAAGTTCCCTTGCAGACCAGCTGCTATCCCAGCCTGTGCAAATATCTGAATTGATACTTATGCCTGCTGTGTTTGGGTTTTTTTTCGCTTACAGAACACACTGGAGCAGTGCAGCGTCTGTGCCAAACCCATCATGGAGAGGATCCTGCGCGCCACGGGGAAAGCCTACCACCCCCACTGCTTCACCTGTGTGATGTGCCACCGCAGCCTGGATGGCATCCCCTTCACTGTGGATGCCGGAGGGAACATTCACTGCATCGAGGATTTCCACAAGTACGGCTTTTCCTGGCCCTGGAGGCCTAAAATCTCTTCTCATGTTACCTAGGCAGGATCTTGAACTGCTGTAAATTCTTCCTGCGATTCCCCAGAGGCCAGGGAGCCGGCAAGCACACCCTCCGGCATGCCAGCTTAATTGACTGGGGGTGGTTGTGTGGATTTGTCTTACATCCGTCTCCCTGCCAGGGAGGGTTGTCTCCGTGCTCACAGATCTTCTTTAACATGTTATGTTCCCCACTTGCCCTATGTGCGGACTGCATGATGTAGGCATTTCATGTTCCTAGCTACCCCCCTGCACTTCCTTACCCCCCCTCCTTATCCTTCCTTCCCCAGCCTCCTACTGCCACTTAGCTGTTGCCTTGAAGCCAAGGTTCTCACCCTGTGCTCAGCACCCTGCTCATAGCCCGCAGAGCACAGCAGGGTTCGCTGCCTCCTCTGTTTGACAGTGCCCAGTCAACCTGTGGAACTCCTTGCCTGAGGAGGTTGTGAAGGCTAGGACTATAACAGCGTTTAAAAGCGATCTAGATACATTCATGGAGGTTAAGTCCATTAATGGCTATTAGCCAGGATGGGTAAGGAATGGTGTCCCTAGCCTCTGTTTATGTTCTTATGTTTCCATCTGCTAGTTAGCCTTTCAAGGAGCTAGAAAAACATTCCTAATCATAATTTGTAGTAAAATATCTATTTAAAGTGCACTGCAATCCACGACTGGAGGTAGCTTCTGTCGCTCCCCCCCCATCCCTTCCCTTATCACAGCTGATCTGAGAAAGACAGATAAGTAGATATAATCAAAGCACAAATGTTTCCCCAGCTTGGAAGAGACAGGCACGGTACACCCCTCAATTAAAAGAGGAAATCAATACTAACTAATGTGGGTTTACATCTCAAGCACTTATCTTTTAATTTCTAAGGGGGCAGACTTAATTAGAGACTCGTGACATCAGTGTGTGGGCCTGGAAGCTCAGAGCAGCAGACTTACCTGACAAAAGGAATCGCAGCCGCCATATGGGAGAATGTTAAACTCCGGCAGGAAATGCTCCCTGACGCTCAGACACATCTGTGTAATTGGCAGCTGCAGAGGCCACTGTGTGTTACCTCTCCCTCTGTGTGCGTCCCAGCAAGAATCCAGCGAAATGGCCCAGTGGGTGAAATTCACCCTTGTGCAGAGGGCCAGCAGAAAGCCAAGGCAGTGCCACTACATTATGTCCCACTTACACTCCCTATGCCACGTGTCGATATATGCGGGATGTTCCTCCTCCTTGAGAGGGATTGACATTCTTTAGGAAGAACTAAGGACCTTCCGGCTTGAAGGGTTAAATGGTGACTCGGCCTCATACTGCTCCTCAACCCCTGGGTGAATTTCACTCTCCGAGAATAGACAGCATAAGGAAAGGACCTGTATTGGTTGGGTACGAGGCTGGGAGAAGATCCAGGGGATTGCAGATGACCTAGTTGGGCTACTGAGTCCATCTACAACCAGTGCAGAGTCTGTATCCGGAAGTATATTTGGCAGTTCTTTCACCCAGTTTTAGCTGATGCGAGTAATGAAACTTCCATCGCTTCTCTTGGGTCGCTGCTTCACAGCCTAATATGTTGAATTATTAAGAAAATGTATCCAATGTTCTCAGTTTCTCTTTGTTTAATTTTACCTCCCTGTATCACCCTACAGGATTCCTTCCCACAATGTTCCCACCTTTCAAATACTTTGAGAGCACCTACATGTCCTTAGGGTAGAGAGTGAGTGAGAAGAAGCATTCAGGATGTATTGACAGCTATGGAGGCATGAAGAAAAAAATAGAAGGCAATTGTGGATGCAAAAAATATAGTCAGTAAACCTAAACAGTGGACACAAAACTGGGGGAGGGAGACAAAAGAAATTCACAAACATTTTCAAAAATGTTGTAAACATCTTCCTGGTCAAAAATCTTTGCAAAAAAAAAACTAGTTTTGAAAAATTCTACAGGAATGTTTTCCTGAAATTTTTTCATTTCTGGAAAATTTCAGGTTTTCTTTTTTCACAGTTTTCATTCTTTTTTCCTTTTTGCCACTGAAAAAAGGGGGGAAAGAGGGTGGGAGGAGAGAAAAACAAAAATTGTGTTTGTTTTTCACTTTGTGTCAAAGAGAAAATTAGTGAAAGTTTTTTAGGGGGGAAAAATCCATTTTTTAAGTGAAAAAAGTTTAAAAAATGAATTCCAACCGGCTCTATTGGCCGTTTGAAACTGCTATTGGGGTTCTTATCCTGAAAGGTGAGGAGCAAATGGAAACTGTGAAATCCACCTGCAAGACATGATTAGCTAGACGCTGCCCTAAGAAACACATGCAGCTCCCACTTAATTCAATGGGAGTCATTTCTCTGTCTCTGCGGAAAAAAATTGGCCCATGCTGTTTTGCCTCTGGTGACCTAGATAGAGAAACATTCAAGCATTTTTAAGCAGCACATTTTAGCTGAATTGCACAAGAAAGTGCCTGAATCCCCACATTATTAACTGTGATTACAGCTACGGTCATATCACGATCCATTTAAATTCTCTTTCGGAGCAATCAGCAAAGGTGCTGTTTAATTCATGTCTGCGTAGCTGCAATCTAACAAAACGCCTTGCATCAGCTGCCAACGAAATGAATCCTTTTCTTTATTCCTACTACAGCTAAGATGTTTTTTAATTGAGTTAATTCTAGGGTGGTTTGTATAAAAGGCTGGGTGGCAGAGTCACTGTTTCCTAGATATTTTACAAGAGAAGAATCTTTGATCTCTTCATATTCTGGCACTTGCCATGAGCATTGCCCATTGACCCTAATTCTAAGTTTCTTAGCTATTAGCCAGTGTATGTTCTTAGGGATAGGTTTTCAGAAGGGTGGCCTCCTATTTTGTGGGGAGAATTTGCATCCAAGGCATTTTCACCTTGACTGCCAGATTGCGGATGCAAATCAAGTAGTTGAGAGAGAGAACCAGTCAGATATGCTCTAGCAGTTCTCTTTGCGGTGCACAGATTGAGCCGAGCTAAAACTAACATCCTGTGGGTGTAGTGGGAGCCAGATGCTTGAGGATTTTCAAACAAGACTGGATAAAACCCAAGAAAATTATACTGCAGAGAACAATCCCGCAGTGGCAGGATCTAAGGCTGCATCCTACGTGGTCCATCTCTAGTTTCTAGTGTCTTGATATTTTTCAATAGCGACAGGTGGGGCAAATCCTGCTAACTTCATTCATAAGAGGAATTCCACTGATTTAAATGGTGTTATATTAGGCATATGAAACCAGCCCACTCTGGGGCTTGCACTTGGATACCGCAATGATGAGCAACGTCATTGAGAGATTGTTTAATAAATGAGTAAGACGAGCGGAATATGATTCTCAGGCCTCTGCCATTGTTCTGTAGGAACTCATAAGCATCCCTGAATGTTTCCTTTTCAAGGAGGCAACTCTGCTTGCAGAGATGTGTGTTGTGCCACGGTTTACTGTAGGGTTCGAAGTTTCTAATGTAGCATATGAAGAACATGGCTGTGCACTTGGGGTTTGACTGGAACCATCTTTGCTTTTCAAGGAAATTTGCACCGCGATGCTCCGTGTGTAAGGAGCCCATTATGCCTGCCCCGGGTCAAGAGGAGACCGTACGCATTGTGGCATTAGATCGTGACTTCCATGTCCAGTGCTACCGGTGTGAGGTCAGTATTCCCGCTGCTGGCAAGGGAAGAAAGCAAAGATTGGGTTCACTGTATTGACAGAAATGACCTTCTCTTACATCAATAATGAGCACATTCCTGTTATCACACTGGTTCTGCGTTAAACCTTACTTCATTGACTTCAGCAGAAGTGACTCCTGATTTACACATAGACGGTGCAAATAATAGGAGAATCAGGCCTTCGGTATATACCGGCTTCATTGTGTTAGCAAGAGACTACGACTCAATCGTTGGAGCTGAATATTTGAGAATATGGTCATTCGTTATCTGGACACAAATGTTGCTCCTATTTGTTTTATTAAAATCAACTCTAATGCATGTTGCAATGTGAGCAAGATTATATAAGTGGGTTAAAAAAAGATGAAGTTAATAATTAGCTGGAAAATCAACATACAGCTTGTGGTTGAAAAATTTGAATTGGCTTATAAACATGGTCATTCTCATTCACGTGTGGCCCTTGCTGAGCTACGTTTCTGGTACATGTGATTTTGATAAGAATCTGAAACGGAGCAAAAATCACCTTGACGCATGTTGCATATTGAACCTCCGAGAATTCTGCAATACAGCTGTTCCCCCTGGGATAAACTCCAGCCAGATGTTGGGACAAGACGTGAGTCCCAATAATGGTGCTGATCACAGTCATGGGCTCGGGTGCGGGACTGAGACTCGAGGTCTCTGAGTTCAGTTCATGGCTCTGCCATCACCTTCCTGCGTGAGCTTAGGGCAGTCACTTAATCGCCGTGCGCCTTGGCTTTCCATTTACAAAAGCCGGATGGTTATGATGGCGTTCTGGCCTTTCTTCCACCCGTTAGCTTGTGTATTTAGATTACAAGCTCTTGGGAGCAGAGACGGTCTCTTACTATAGGTCTGTAAAGCCCCCAGCACAATGGGCCCCCACTCTCAGTTGTGGACCTTTGATGCTAGTGTAATAATAATGACCACAGCGGTTAAGGCGTGCTGCAAGGACATGGCTCTGCTGTCACCTCTGTGATATATTCTATCGCTTTCTGGAGTTCTCTCTTCCAAAGAGAGAGAGGGAGAGATGAGCAGCAAACTAGTTTTCAAGGCTCACTTCTTCTTTTTCCTTTTGGCTTTAATAAACGTGAGCTTAAGTTTGATGTGTTCCGCAATGCTAAAGCCCTTTCCTTTCCCAGAGATGGGAAGGGAATAATCTCCTTTTATTTTAGAGAGCTTGGGAGCCCATCTCCGCTGCAGCATTGTCTCTTATCAGGGAAAGGGTCAGTCATGAAAGACATCCTAGAATTCACATGCTGACTTGGGCAGAATTCTGTTACCAGGGGATGTGAGTGTGTATTTCACTCAGGGCCGGCTCCAGGCACCAGCCTGGCAAGCAGATGCTTGGGGCAGCCGCTCCGGAGAGGGGCGGCACGTCCAGGTATTCGGCGGCAATTCAGCGGACGGTCCCTCACTCCACCTCGGAGCAAAGGACCTCCCGACGAATTGCCGCCGCAGATCGCGATCGCGGTTTTTGGTTTTTTTTTCTGGCTGCTTGGGGCGGCCAAAACCCTGGAGCCGGCCCTGATTTCACTAATAGGTTCTTTGCCTAATTTCACTCTCATCTTATTTCTTCTTTTGGTTTTTATTCTGTTTATTGTCTAGGACTGTGGTGGCCTCCTGTCTGAAGGGGACAATCAGGGCTGTTACCCTCTGGATGGACACATCCTTTGCAAGACCTGCAACTCAGCTCGGATCCAGGCACTCACTGCTAAGGCCAGCACTGACCTTTGAGCGTCTACCACCACACTCCCATATTTGCCTGTTGGGGGAATTGCACAACCTTTTCATTTAGCATGACTCCTTTCCAGCCTAGGACCTAATTCTCTATTGAAAAAGTAAAGCTGGAAGGCCTTGGGACAAGCAGGCAGTTTCTAAGTTTATCTCTGTTTGATTCACATCTCCTAAGAAGCACATTAAAATTGGGATGATTGGGCTCGATTCTCTTCTTACTCTGGTGTGAGGGCCTGATCCTACTCCCATTGACATCAGTGGGAAGTTATATATTGGACATGATTCCATAATACTAGACTTACACCAGTGTAAAACCAGCATGTAAATGCAAGACCAGAATCAGAGAAATTGTTATCACAAGACAAACCATACAAACATTGGCCATGAGACATTGGGCCTTTATATCGGCATTGTTTTAAATCATAGGGACACAGATTTGTTTTAAATCATAGAGACCATATCTTTTTCTTATGCCCTCGCTTGTCTCCATTCCCTTCCAGTTTCATAACTTTTTCTTTTCTATAATATTATATTTCGCTGTTGCATAAATGTATTCAGTAAGGATGCTTCCAACTCTCAGATGCTAAGGCATTTATGTATGAGCCATCTCTGAAAGTTGTGAGCCTGCACACACACACACGCGCGCACGCACGTACATACATATATCCTTTTGATAAACTAGAGCTATAAAGTCACTGAGAAGTTATGTTAATTATTTTGGGGGCTGGAAAGGGTTAAAAAGAAATTCAAAATGGCTTCAAAGAAAATGACTAATGATAGCCACCACGGGCATGCTCAAAAGGATCCTAGGTTCTCCGGGGCCAATGCAGTTACATAGTGACCAGTGCGCACTGCTTGTTTCCAAACAAGTACTTTAGCAATGGAGTCTTGATTCAGCTTCCACTGACATCAATGGAAAGACACCACATTGGATTGAATTCTACCTTGAGATAGGCTCAGGCATTCGGGGATGATGGTAACATACCAGAGCTGGAGTTACAGTACAAGCTATGAGAATTGTTTAATATTTCAGCATTTAGGGCTTTCCAAATAGCTGACATTTCTGGAACAGGAATGATTCATTTTTCATCTCAAGTTGTAAATAGGTGTAATTTAGCTCCCAAAAGGGAAAAACGACAGACATCTTTTCTCCTACAGTTTCATCACGCAGTTTTTTCTGTGTGGAGAAATGTCATTGCAAAGGAATGATTGGGGGATGTCACAGTTCCAGGAAAAAAGGGACGTATCGATGCACTCTTCAGGGAGTTAAACATTTGCACTAAGGTTAATAAAAACCTATGCGCAGGCAGTTCGTGGGTTTTTTGGGGGTTGTAGGTTTTTTTTGAGGGGGGGGTGGGTTTTTTTTTGTTAATTAAAAATACATTATAAATCCACAACTCATTTTGTACAGCTATAATATTCTTATTCATGAAACCCATAATAACTAAGGTGCAAATTACATGGGAAAGGAGCAATTTTCATATCACTGCATTGACATTAATATCTTATTTGCAGATGTAATCAAAGAAAATACCTTTAGCTACACTTAACAAATTAAGAGCCAGAACTGAAGCATTTCAGGGCTGATTGACCATATTAATAACAAACTTGCAGTTTTGAAGAGTAACTTTTGTGAATTTTGCTCTCTCTCACAATAATAAATAGTAAAATGGGGTGCTTTCCCCTTCAGTCTCTGTAACAAGAGCTGAATAAAATTACATCACCCAAACCTGAAAAGAAAAATGAGTGAAATGAAATGAGATGGGTTGGATCCAAGCGAAGATTAAAGAAAATGGAAAATTGCCTCTTACTGTAACTCCTGAAAATGGTATGTCCCCTCCCCGCTCAGCATTTCGGTTGACCTTTATGGCAAAGTCCTATTGAATATAACAGTGAATAATAACATTTCTGTAGCTGTTTTTTAAACCATCCTATAGAGAATTTAATAGAGAATTTAGGGTCTGTCCCCCAACACTTTCACCAACTTTTTACTGGGCTAACTTCATTGGCTTCAGTGAAATTAACCTGGATTTGCACCACATCAAAATGAGGTCATTTTTCTATAAATCTGTAGGATGACTGATCAATCCCATAGAAAGTATATTGTTCTCCATTAAATCCTGCAGGACTTTGCTACTGGGACAGTGTCTATGTAGCAGCATCTCACCATCATATTGGAGTTTGGCCCCAGCCTTCAACAATTTCAGCATTTTCCCACAGTAGATTAGTTAGATATGTTATAATTTATTTCATGCAAAACGTTAAGTGCTGGATAATTTTTTAAAATAAGGATATGACTCCTAATAGGCTCCATTTGATCTACTGGTCCTAAGCCCTGGTACCTAAGGTAATTTTGAGCTTGCTAGCATTACATGCAGAAGATTGTTAAACACTTGTCTGAACTGAATCTACCAAAGCATGGAAGTTCAGAGTGCAGGTGGCTAACTTCACTTTATCACACATTCCATCGTGCCTTAGAACTGGGTTTCTGAGCATCTTCTCTCCAAAGTACACTGGGAATGTGATGTATACAACCGAGCATGGCACTGATGTAGCAACTATAGCTCTGAACTTCTGTGTCCTTGTAGGTTTAAGTCAGTCTGTCAATCGCACTGAGTGGCATATTAGAAAGCGATGAGAATTAGCTACTGTAATTAGGACAAGGGTCGTGGTCTAGTGATTAGAGGAGGGAGACCAGAAGTCTGGATTCCTGGGTTCTTTCAGTGCCCCGGCCACAGACTCACTGTGCAATTTTGAGCAAGTCACTTAACCTCTCGGTCTGTCTATCCCTCTTCACAATAGAGCTTGATAATTCTTACTAACTTCCCAGGGAAGGGAAGTGACTAAATAAAGTAATTTTAGAGTGCCCTATGCTGCATAAATTCAAATCCAGATCCTCCCTTTCTGAAAAGTTTGGTTGGGTTTGTGGTTTTGGAGCAGCCCATTCCAGAACACCCATTTTTAGGGTGTTCTATGAATTTGGTGGTGTGGGGGCTCTTAGATCGTTGTTTCTCAAGCATTTTGAGCTCCTTGGATGGAAGGAGAAGGGGGAGTGTTGTTATCATTATACATACAGCAGCTAATTTTCAGACTTGAAATATCTGGGTAATGTTGTTTTAATTTGGTTTCTCCTCCCTAAAATAACCAAAGCCAGTTGCCCATTTGAGTGAGTGAATAAGTGCCTGGAGTGTTTTTAAAAAAAATTCATTCATATGTGGTGCCTAAACTGATACAAATATATTTTGGAAGATACACACACACACACACACACACTCTGTCATGTCAGATTTTCAGCCCTGATACTCGAGGGTTTCAAATGGATCTTTAATCAAGGCATTGCTCTAAAGCACCAACAAAATATTGCTTAGCCACAATCTTTATCATATATTTATTACATATCCTCATTTATCTATTCCAAAGAAGCCTTTTTTACCAAAGAGATCTTGTTCTTTTAAGGTACATTTCAAAAGTCATGATAAATACTCACGTTGTTTGCTGATGCATTAACGTTCAGCAATTCTCCTTTGACAAGGAATGTGAAGATCACCTAGACCTTTCTATTTCAATCTGCCGATTTTTTGCTGGTGGTTCTTTGCCATTTCTAGCATTTGTGTGAAATTAGGGCTTGATCCCGTGTTTCAGGTCACCCCGTTGGGAGTTTGGGGTGCAGGAACAAGCCCTTGTTTAAGCCTTGGCTCGGGAAAGTATTTAAGCATGTACTTAATATTCAGCACATGCTTAAATCCGTTCCTCAATGGGACATAAAGAGATGCTTGAATTTACTACATCAGATTTGGTTGCCTTGGTTACAGCCAAATCCCTTGTGACATCATCAAAGTGAATGATCGTATTTTGTTAATGTAATTGCTTTATTGTCATTTATTGTTTTATTTTAATTGTTGCCTGAATGTTGCCTTTTAAAGCAGAAGACAACATCACAGCTTTAGATAATGCACCTTTCATTATGATTTTTTTTAAATAATTGTTAGATTTTTATCGCAGCTGCAAAACACTTGGGGAATGACTTCGTCCTAGAGACACGGGGGAAGCGAAACGTTTGCCAGGGTGAGCTCTACACGCGTTCATCAGACGCTTAGGGCAGAAGCAGGAATGAAGTGGGACATAGGTTAGCTCATTATCCGGGCGTGAATTACACACCCTACAAGCATAAAAGAGTTCTCGGTATAGATATTGTGTGTGGAGACTGGTGCAAACAATCACCAATTAAATCCAGTCTAGTAACACATATTTTGGGCCCTAAGCCTCCAACCTAGCTGAGTGTAGCAAAGTTTAGCTGGGGCTGCAAAGAGTGCTGGTTCTACAATATAATTTCCCTCCCCTGGCCTCATGGAAGGTCCGTGGGAGTACTGGGAAAAGGTAAAACAGAGGACAATGCAGAGACCCAGGAAAATCCCATCATCAGCATCCATGGGGGGGGCGGGGAATCTTGTCACTTTGCTTTACTCTAGTTTAGGACATAAAATTCTGTGATGCCCCATTTTTGTCTAGAAACTGAACAGCCCAAAGGAGGTTTTTTTGGTTTTCGAATTGTCTTTTGTTAATGTCTGGTTCCCGTGGTTGATTCTGTGGGCTGATTTGATATTAGATCATCAAGTAGTGCTAATCATGCTTTATATAGAGATCAACACTATAAATCAGGGTTGACACATGAGGAAGTGTGCTGTGGATTTGGGTGGTGAAAGTCTACATGGGAAACACCAGTCGCGTGTTGATATTTGTTTGAGGATCTACTGCAAAGAATGGAGAGGGCCACCTAAGGCCATATAGAAGTTAGTTAAGTGTGAGTTGATATAGGGACTCTGAGAACGATACTTCTGTTAAAGCTGGTCAAATTGTTTTACACTAAACTTCTGTTTTGTTGAAAGTTTGACCTTTTCTCTTCGATACTTTTTGGGGGAAATTGTCTATTTTCTGATCTCGCAATATCTTTCACATCGTTTGTTATTAATAGTTTAATCAATATATTGTTGACATTTTTATCCTAATAGTTTTTGAAATGGTTCTCAGTTTTTCATTGACCAAAAATGAAGTTTTCTTACTCAAAACCATTTTTAATAAACAAGTTTTCGGTAATGATTTCAAAAACTGTATGGTAAAAAAAATCCTGTAAAAGTGTCACAAAAATGTTCATGGAAAATGGATCCGTTCTGGATGTTATGAAGCAAACACATTTTGAAAATTTTCACAAAATCTTTCTTGTTTTCTGATTCACTCTACTTCCTGTGCAGACACCATTTTCCTAGTTACTAACAATCCGAATAATGTGACTTTTCTGGGAATAACAGTGTTACTTCTGTTGGACACAGTTTTTGTCTTCTCCCTTCAAACCATGCCCAGGCTGGTTAGGAAGATGGTGACCGTGTCAGTTGTCCTTTGTTTCAAGTACTGAAGGGTGTAAGTAGATTATGCTCACCAAGATCGAGAAACTCTGGTTGAACCTCACGCCCTAGCACCATTCCTTTGGGCTTGGGAAAGGCCGTTTTCCATATACATTTCCAGGAAGATTGTTCTTCCTCCTCGGCATTTCAAGTTTGCGTTTGAAACAGGTGGTTGGCTGTCTTGATGCTAGAGCCCTTGTAAATTGTAAATGAAATGTGACTGGCAATACCGCACCTCTCCTTAAGCCAGTGGTTCTCAAACTTTTGTCCTGGTGACCCCTTTCACATAGCAAGCATCTGAGTGCGACCCCCCCCCCTTATAAATTAAAAACACTTTTTAATATATTTAACATCATTATCAATGCTGGAGGCAAAGCGGGGTTTGGGGTGGAGGCTGATAGCTCGTGACCCCCCATGTAATAACCTCACGACCCCCTGAGGGGCCCTGACCCCCAGTTTGAGAACCCCTGCCTTAAGCCAACTCTGAATCAGTCCAGTTCCATTGGCGAGTCCATAATAATAAACAACCTAATCTAGGGTTCGTGGTGAACACGTAAGTTCTCAGCTTTGTTTTTAGAGACACTAACTATTGAAAACTCAGTAGAAATGTTTGGAATTATATATATAAAAATAATATACATATTTTAGATTGTCCTGAGACTATGACTCATTAAAGGTACAGGCAACAGTAGGTAGCCGGGGCAGTTTTTATTATACTTGCCCTGTCTTCATTTCTGTGCCGCCACAGTCTCTATCTTTTTGGCATTAACCCAGGTATAACCAACCGCCCCACTGAATTTGCAGCTATGCTAACAGGGCTAATCTGAAATGTTCTTTTTGTTGTTTGTGTGTCTTCCTGATTATTCCTCAATCTAAAAAAAAAAAGCCCAAACCCCAAATGGTGATATCTTCTTTACGTTTCCCAGGCATTAGAGTCCAGTCCCGGGAATCAGAACTCAGGGGTTCTGTTTGAAGCTTTACCTCTTTCTCCCTTTGTCACCTTAGACAAGTCACTTAGCCTGCTTCTCCCTCTGCCCCAGTTTATCCATCTCTGTAATGGGGACGATATATTACCTACCTCACAGGGGTGTTGTGAGAGCTAGTTACAAAAGGTAAAACTTTTTGAGCTCTTTAATCAAAGTAGCTATCTGCATCCATAGCATCAGTGGCAGGAGTGCCATGCGAATGCCTGCCACATGAGAAGAAAAGAAAATGATTATAATTATTGCTTTTAAAATGATTGTCAAATTGTGCCTTAAATTTTCAGTTAGATCTAACCGTGTAATTTAGAGCAATAATTCCAGGCCTTATGTTGGAGAATCCAATCAGCGATTTGTTTGAAAGGCTAGATTTTTTTAATACTTTTTCTAGAAAATTAGGTTATTGAGGGGCTCTCTTCTTTTATTTTTTCTCCTCCAATTTTATTTCGGCATGAAAGGGGCAGCCAAAATGCACGTTTGTCTTGTAGGTGGCATTTTCATCTGTTTTGTGTTCTTTTAGAGAGATGCCACTCTGTCATTTTATGCATAATGACATCTCTTTAGATACACACCAACCAATGAGATTGTTTTGCTAAAGTTAGCAGGCATTTTTTTTAATCAACCAAATTTTGGGTTGTGGGGAAAGTGTTGCAGTTCTTTGCTACAGGTTCATTCTAACTTTCACTGCAAAGACGAAATTTTTTATAGTCTTCCCATATCTTTACTGTAGTTGGAGGTTGACACGAGCGTTAAGCCAGATTATAAAGGGAAATACTCAGTGTAACCTAGTTCCATTTAGCAGCAAGTCTTTTGTCAGCTCAGGTCCTGTTGGTTTGGGTTTTTAAATGTCAAATTACAGACTTAGGGTTTCCTAAAGATGAACAAAAATGGCACTTCATGTGCAGTAATTTGGTGGTTCCAGACTGCAGTATTTTCCCTACGTATCTGGGTGTCGTATGTTAGGATTCCACCTGCAGCCGACAGTACATTTGACCTATTATCCAGTCCATCTCATTGCTCCTTTTGGCTGCCTTCCCCTGCTCCCACTTGGTCCGTATTTACACAGTTTAACTGAGCTTTTCTTTCTGCTGAAGGTCAGAGGCGAGCGATAGGAAACACTACACTTTATAAACAAGCAGAGCCGTTTTAACCCCCGCGCTCTGGACACGAACGCATCTTTAGGTGGTGCACTGTCTGCATCCTGAGAGTGCATTTGACTGGTATAGTATGCAAAGCCACAAGATATGCTTTTTAATGAATTACTCGCTGTCATCCAGCGACACAGCTTCAGCCTTGCCACACAGAAAAACCTTCCCGCAGCAATGCGCTTACAATAGCTTTCCTCTCCCTTGCAAAAAGTGAAACTTTCTCACAATATAAACTTTGTGTATATTGCACAAAATGCTGGCAGTTATTTTCCCGAGGCTTCTTTCTGTAACCTCTGCGTGGCAATGTTGAAGAGCTTGCCTTTTTTTGATGAGATTAGATGTTGCATATTGATGTGAGCATTTCAAAGGCCTGTGGGGCTTTGGAACGTATTAAGAACCTCTGAAGTTAATATTCACCATGTTTTAAATATTCAAAAGTAAAAAATCTGTATAAAATGACTCTCGGTACACATGGACTATGTTGTTTCTTTTTGAAGCAAGCACTGGGGGGCTCGGGGCTCTGCTGGGCTCGTTCTTAACCTTCTTTCGTTCCAATTTATCAGAACCACTTGGAAATAAAGGGCCCGGGCTCTTATCCCACGCCAGTTCTAACGGTGGTGCCTGTGATGGAGTGGCTCCTGATTTCCTCTGGGATTGAGTCCAATGGGTGGGATTTTCACAAGATCCTAGGGGAGTTTGGAGCAGCCAATTCCCACTGAATTCCAACCCCTTTATTGTCCCCATCATGGCAATGTGGCATGTAGGGCCTGAATCAGACCTCGCTCGCATCATAGTCTGTATCCAAAGAGCCCGTTCTGCTCCTCGGGGCGTGCACTGTGTGCCCTGAATCAGGAGGAACTCCAGTGTGGAGGCACTGCTGGGAAACTGACGTGAGAGGAAACTCAAGCCTGTGGCTTTTATGTCAGCAGGGACAGGGCAAGCGCATTCTGTTCCAGGACGTTGGGACAAAGCTCCCTTCAGTTCACCCTTAAATACGCCAGAGGAGATTTTGCTTCGCCCGAACGTCCCTCTTCTGCTGCGTTGCGCGGGGCAAGATGAAAGCTGTCAGCAGAAATGCTTCTAGGGAAAACTGCCGGCCGCTTTAGGTGAGGGTCAGGTAGAGCTTGCAAACACTCAGCCGCTCCGCTGTGCCGTTCCGCTGTGCCATTAGTTATTCCAGTCTGCCTTCCCCTTGAGTGCACACCGGGCATCTCCCAGGAGCACAGCAGCTCTTTGGATACACGCTACGTGCAGCATCAGGGTTATCACGTTGGCCCTTGTCTGAGTCAGCCCGAGGGGCTCGTCCTCGGGTCTACTCCTGCAAGGTCCTATGCAAGTTGTTAGTCCTGGCCCCTGGAGGGGCAGAAGGTGATGCTGCCATTTTTGGCTTACAAATAACGCAGCCCTTTTGAAATCCCCTTTCCCCTCTCTCACGTTCCTGACGAAGGCAAGGCTTTAAATCTTGAATAGCATGGGTGTTTGCCTAGCATATGCCTTGAATACGTTGTCAGATTGGGAGCAGAATGAGGGATTTCAAGATCAGTTCCTCTTCAGCCCTGATGGTAGGGTCCTTGTTTGAAACTAGACTTCCCCTTTTAGACAAGCCCTATAGAACTTACACTTTAATGTATGGAACGAGAATTCGACTCAGATTGGAACTAACAGGGTTCTGTATAAATTTGCCATAGTTCTGAAGGAATTACCCTAAAAGCATATGGGGCAGATTCCCTCATTGGTGTAAATATGGTCGTTTACACCAGTGGGGGGATCTGCCCCATAGGACGTTATGCTCTATGCCACTCTATCAACTGATTTGTTTGAACCATTCTATAGAAATCGATAGCAGGGATAGACTTCTTTAATCACTTCTATAGGTGGCTTCCAAAAAACCCTATAGAAACATTGCAATTTTTTTTATTAAATTCTTCAGGACTTCTCCATAAGGGCTGTGGCTTATAAAAACACGAGACTTCACCCAAATTAAGCTTTATTGATACCCAAGTTTGTGTTAGGTGACGTTGATAGTTAATCGAGGAGTAGTAATAGAATCATAGACATAAGAACAGGGTTTGATGATTTTCCCATGCCTAGTGCTGATGCAGATTTTTCTAGCATTGTGTGTAACTGAGATGAGAATCTGACCCAGAGCATAATGGTTCAAAAATTTCACTCTAGTTATTTTTATTCTTTTGAAATAAATTTTTGGATATTATTTTGGACCTGATCTTGCAGCCTTTACTCACGTGAGTAGTTCCACTGACTTTGGTGGTGGTATTTGTGTTCGCGTGACGGGATCGGGCCCCACTACAGACTCTAGGAAAGAGATTGCAGAAATATTCTGTTTCACTTGCATTAATCACACCAAGACGTTTCCACCAAGAGCCCTCTATTTAATAAGTAGGAGGGCCTGTAATTGCAATCTGAGTTCTGATCTTATCGACAGACATTATGACTTTCTAGGTATTGCAACTCTATTCAGATTCATTTTGCCTCTGTTTAAACTTGGATTGATCAGTAAGAGGGAACAGCAAGAGATGCGAGGGCCAGGGAGATGCAGTGACTATAGATAAAGGAGTTTTCTTCCTCCTGTGTCTGCAGGATTTGAAGCTTGGAATGGAGCACACACATCATAGAGGAAAACTTTACCAACCATGCATAGGGGCTGTGAACAGTATACCCGTTATATAGCTTTCAAACTCTTGGAATGTTTGTAGGAATGGAAATTTGAATCTTTTTCAGGTCTTAGCTAGTATACTTTCCAGCGAGGGAGTTTACATACCATCATTGATGGCAGCAGATCGGAGCTTTCATTTTGTTTTTAAATTCAATGTCTAGCCCATATGGTTGCAAAGAAATCCTTCCAAATATGCCCTCCATAGGAGGCTGTCTTCCTGAGTCATGCAGGCAAGTTGAAATCGAAGTCCTGATTCCGTTCTCGCTTAGGGCAGGGAAAATCAGGAGTAACTTTGGTGGAGTTGTAGCCGTGTAAAAGTGGTATGAGATCAGGATCAGGATCTCTGGGAGTTTTGAACTCCCACGCCCCCATTCATCTCAATAGGATGTTATCCCAGACACATCATGATGTCAGTGCATGCTAAAGTAGTTGCAAACTTCGCTGCTGATGGTTTTGGCAAAAAGCACCCAGCTTTTCAGGAATTGGACTAGAGTTTGGGAATGGGGGTGGAACTAAAGAAGAATGAACCCTGTTTTTTTCTGTTATGTGTCAGCCTAGCTGTGTTTGCTCAGTAGGGATAAAATGTACTGTATAAGTATAAGAATCTATGCAAAAAAAAAACCAAACCTGGATATTTTAATGCACACAGAACTAACTCTATGCAAAGCCTCCCTTTTCTCCAGCAAGCACGATTATTTCTTTAAGTTTTTTTGTCTGACTTTGCACAAAGCACAACGCATTTTTTTTAACACGACTTCTAAGAAAGTCGATACCTAAAAGGAGGAGGGGGAGGGGTCTTACTGTCAAACACTTGGATTTTTCTGGCTTGGAAATTAATAATTTCTACACCTGACCCAATTCCTGCAGCTGCCAAAAAAGAAAAGAGAACGCTATTTAAATTTCGCATAGAGCCATTTATCTCTTAAAATATGCCAAAGCAATTTGAGGTGGGGGTGGAGACTTAACTATTTATCTCCACAGCCTATTTTTTTTTCTCTTTATGTTTCTAACTGTCAGGGAAAAAGAAGGCTCGAAAGCTATTCTTGGGCTGTATTATTGATGCATTTTGTTGCCATTATGCAGGGTGCCTGTGTTGCTTCACACAGTGGGATGTTATATGGCCATATTCCCCACACACCCTCTTTGGGGAGATCTGGATTAAATCTGACCAGCTACTATCTACAAGATTTTTTTAAAAAAACTATTTTGAGAACAGGGTGTAGCGAGGATTGAGTTCAGACTTGCCGACTTCTTTGGACGAGTTTTCAGATGTGTCAGAGATCATACAGGAAGTACTGAGGGCAAGACTCCAGTGCAGTGGCTTTCAATCTTTTTGTCTTTTGCAGACCCCACCACAAAATTTCGAATGGAGGTGTGGACCCCTTTGGAAATCTTAGACCTAGTCTGTGGGTCCATGGATCACAGGTTGAAAGCCGCTGCTCTAGTGAACGGGGCAACGTATGTTGTATGACTGCAGGCACATCATGTCAACTCTGTGTGCCTGGGTTTATGCTCCCATATCTTCTGTGTTTAGATTGGAAATTCTTCAGTGCCGAGACTGCTGTTCGCTGTGTCTGTACAGCACTTAGTACTATTGGGCTGCTATAATCCAAATAACATAATCGTCCGTTTTGTATTATCAAGCAAATTCAATTGAGCAATGCCAGTTTCCTGGGAATTTCCCCAAAGTAAGGGTCAGCTTGTTTTAGGACCCTCCAAATTTGATTCTATGTTTTAAAAGGTCAGAGGAGTAAACAAAGTGCATAGGAACGGTTTCATGATTGAAAAATGCCAAGACTTAAACTTTCCCCTGTAGTATTGGGAGCCCCAACTCAGCGATGTGCTATCTGCATGTGAAACTGGCCAAGAAGAGTGAAGTGCAAAACAAAACAAAAAAATACACGTGGCAGAAACTAAATGATATAATTGGCCTGATTTTCACAGGTGCTGCTGCAGCTCTCCCTAATTTCAACCCAGAGGAGCGTCACATGGTCAGCACTTCTGAAAATCAGCCCCCCATGTACTTTTAAATTCCTTCAGTATTGTGAATTGTATTTAGGTCACGCATAGGGGCCAGCTGAGAACGGGGCCCCCGTATAAACACAGAACAATAGACAGTCCCTGCCATGAGAAGCAATAAGGGTACGTCCACACTACCCGCCGGATCAGCGGGTAGCGATCGATCTATCGGGGATCGATTTATCACATCTCGTCTAGACGCGATAAATCAATCCCCGAACGCGCTCCCCGTCGACTCCAGAACGCCACCAGGGTGAGAGGCGGAAGCGGAGTCGACGGGGGAGCCGCGGCTGTCGATCCCGCGCCGTGAGGACAGGAGGTAAGTCGAAATAAGATACGTCGACTTCAGCTACGCTATTCTCGTAGCTGAAGTTGAGTATCTTAGATCGATCCCCTCCCGCCCCCCAGTATAGACCAGGCCTAAGTTACAGGTTCATAGATTTCAAGGTACAGAAGGTAGCATCAGATCAGTCTAGTTTCCTAGTCACAGATAGGGAATTTTCCGAATTTGAATTGTTGGTGGGGGATGCATTTTCATTTGGGAAACAGGTCACATTTCAAAGAGAAAGAAAGAAAGGATGTTGTCTGTAGCTTTTTTATTTTTTCATTATTATTATAGTTGTTTTAGTGGTCGAGAAATGAGAAAAATATCATAATCTGAAACATTCCATAAACTAGAGACAAAGTCAAATAACTCCCGTTCAAATATTGTTTCACTTCAGCTGGAGTTTGTCCTGTTCTTTTTACATATGTGCATTATAGAAGTAGAAGATGGAGAAGACCATTAGCTAAATTAGTCCATCTCACACTCAGTGCACAATCTATTCCCTACAGTATATTTTCTAGCGCTTTGTCCAGTTAATTTTTTTTATTTATTTCTGTTTTTACATAAGATCTTAATAGCACAATGGTTTTTGCTAGAAACAGGGTCTTCTCCCTACTGCTAACTACGGGAATACGTGCAATGATTAGAATTCGAGAGCAGATCTCCTTGCATGGTGCTAATATTCCTGAGGATGGCAAGATGGTATAAACTGAGGTCGGTTTACTCTGAAGCGCGCAGTTGGAGGGTTTGGTTCATTGTTTAATTTGCTGAGTTTGTCCCCATGTAAAAAACAAAACGGTGGCATTATGTTTTGGGGGGTTTTTTTGCATCAAGTGCCTTCTCAACAGACCTGGATTGGCAGGAAACCCCTTCCGATTTGGCATAGAGAGACGCATTGACTGTCCTGTGAGACAGACAGATCACAGAGCTACGTCTGTCCAATCAATGGTATTTCTAATTTGCCTATTGCCGTAGCAGCGAAGCATCTAAACAGCACAAGTGACGTGTTGCTTACTACTACATATGGTGGGTCTTAGGAACATTCCCCATATATTTTACTCTTTGTACCAAGTGCCACAGCTCCTTAGACCTTCTCTATGGGCAGAACAGGGAACTAATCAAAGTGCAGAGCAAGGATAAGAACAATCAAAATGATTCCAAATGGAAGCAAAATGGGGAGTGTCAAAGATCAGCTCTTCATTAAAGCGTACCAAAGCAACAGCTCATACCTTGTATGTCGCCCAATAGACACAGTCACCGTGTAGATCTCCCTTCTGGATAGTAATAGGTGTCAAAGCCCCAGTGTTGTTGACTCCCTGGTAGTGGCTAATTTAAGGGGTTCTATTTTGCATACACACCAAAGTTATGGAGGTTAGAGAGCCAGCGATGTGTAGGGAAACATGCTTGAAAGTTTGCCTGGTCAGTAAGATCTAAGAATATTAAGCACTTTGGGGGGATATGTTTGGGGATGTTATTTATTTGAATGTAAACTGCCTGTGTTTCATGTGTTCTTATTCCTTGCATAACACTGGAGGGTAAAATCTAGAGATGCCAGAGAAGGCTAGGTGCTGTGGTGGGAGAATTCAGGATGCCCCATGCCAGCTAAGCCATACCAGGTGCTCAGTGTGCTCTGACACTAATTCCTGAGAATATCCCTGAGTGCCGCTTGATGGAGCGGTTCCCCCTGCTGTGTACCAGGGAGGGAATACAGGCCAAGACTAGAAGAGGTTTCAAAAAGGAACCGGATAAGTTCATGGAGGATAGGTCCATCAATGGCTATTAGCCAGGATGGGCAGGAATGGTGTCCCTAGCCTCTGTTTGCCAGAAGCTGGGAATGGGCGACAGGGGATGGATCACTTGATGATTCCCTGTTCTGTTCATTCCCTCTGGGGCACCTGGCATTGGCCACTGTCGGCAGACAGGACCCTGGGCTAGATGGACCTTTGGTCTGATCCAGTAGGGCCGTTCTTATGTTCTTATGAGTAATGTTTGTCCAAAGAGACAGCAAACCGGAGGCTTGAGGTGTTCTAACACCTAATGCTCTAGCACCTCCACCTCTTTTGCTGTCCCTCTGGAAGTCGGTGCGTGAAGGGAAAGGCATGTACGGAACTGACCCGGTCCTACCCTGGTGTAACCCTCCAGACTTACGGGTGTAAGTGAGATCAGAATCAGTCCTGCTGCATTTAGATGGGCAGGGTGTATAAGTCAGGACACAGCTCTGTAGGTAACATTGCTGAGCTCTCCAGAGCCTCACAGCTCCCCAAACTGCCCTAGCCCACCAATTTTTCCCCGTGGGTGCTCCAGCCCTGGGTGCTCTAGCCTTGGAGCACCCACGGAGTCGGCGCCTATGCTAACACCCTGCACACATACACAGTGCCTGGAGCTGGCCTCCTCTGTGTGCTTCTAGCCACTCAGACCAGAGATAAGCCCAGGAGACACATTTTGGATCAAAATCCAACTTTCCCCAGTCCAAGGGTGTTCATAGCTGGGATTCTGTTTCAGCCCATCGTAGCAGATAGGAACCAGCTTCACATGTTGGGTCTAGATCCAGACTTTCCAAGGATTGCAGGGAGTTGGCAGAGGCTGTAGCTGGAATATTGGTTCAGGTCCATCTCCGCACAGAATAAACAGCAGAGGCCGGCTGGCTTTAATCATAGGCAGGCGCCTTGGGGGGGGGTCCCAATCACAGTGGGTGCCATTCCAGAGAAAGGTCTCTCCTTGGCCAAATGCCATTTCTGAAGTCCCAGCGCATCTTCCCAGAGCTTGGAGACCTGAATGGCTGTTGCACATTGCAAGGAGGAGAGTGCACCCAAGAATGTATTCACCCTACAGAGCTGCGATGCCTCGGGCCAGCCCGGCTAACGGCAGCATTCTGCATCGGGGCCCTTCGGAGAAGTTAGCTCTTTGGCGTGAGGTAGTTTATAGTGAATTTCTATGCAAGGTGTGAGGTCTGTTACCGTCGGGAGAAGAGTGTGACTTGTGGTAGGTGGTTTTACATCCTCCGGATGTTCTGGGCTTGGCAGGTGGAGGTTGTTAGTAGTGAGGACAGCTCCTTGGCTGTAAATGTGGATTGCTAGCTTACTAACACCAGGCAGCGGAGAGGCGGGAGAGAAGATAGTGCCTGATCCAAAGAGGCGTCTCCTTGCTAGAAATGCCATGCCTTCAAATCCTAATGAAGTAATGCAAGTTGAGCTTTCAGGATTGGTGCCTTATTCCTCAGTACCACTGGGTACCAGTGATTTACCATTTGCTGAGCACAACCCCGACTTAGCACCTAATCAACTAGGGGCCTAATCTTGGTGCCATTGAGATCAGTGGGAGTTTTGCCATTGACTTCAGTGGAATCAGGATTGGAACTCTTCAAATCTGTAAAGACCCGATCCTGCAAGCTGCTCAGAGCTCCTCCTGTGAGGAGAAAAACCTTGAAACTGATCAGGCCTCGTGGGTTTCACTGACTATTTTCAGGGGAATTTGAGACCGCTCAAGACAGGCACTCAGCAACTAGCAAGATTGGCCTGTAAGGTGATATATGAAGTTTACTATCGGGTAATGTGTGTGCCTGGATTAAACATTCATTTTATTCAAATGTCTTCTGAGACCAGATCCAGCATATACACAATTTCTATATTTATAATATAGAGAGAGATTTTGTTGGTTCTCAGCTAGTTACCTCTTCTGAACCGCAAT